CAACCTGTTGAGCTACTGCTGCCCCAATGTATGATGGTGCTTGTCCATGTAAGGCCCTATCGACCAGAACCAGGATCTTGAAATGAACCCTGAAGTTGACTGGCAGCCAGTGAAGCTGGAGGAGAAGTGGGGTGATGTGGGTGTATTTGGAGGACTTGGTCAGAAGCTGAGCACAGGCATTCTGAACCACCTGTAGACGGTTCAGGGAGGTTCTGCTCAGACACGTGAAAAGAGAGTTACAGTAGTCTAAGCGTGAGGAGATGAAGGTGTGGATAACTGTCTCAAGTTCAGAGCAGGACAGAATGGGACTCAGCTTAGCGATGTTCCTGAGATGGAAGAAGGAAGAGCAAACAAGAGAACTGACATGAGAATCCAGGGTGAGAGCTGGGTCAAAGGTCACGCCAAGATTCCTGACGGAAGGTTTGGTGTGAGAAGCAAGCTGACCAAGAGAGTCTCTGACTTTGGGAACCAGCTTGTCTGGGGCACAGATGAGGATCTCAGTCTTATCTTCATTCAGCTGAAGAAAGCTCCCAGCCATCCAGGTTTTAATAGAGTCTAAGCAGGTGTGTAACAGCTGCAGCTTAGACATCTCATGGGGCTTAAAGGAGATGCACAGTTGGATGTCATCTGCATAAAGATGGTAGGAGATTCCTTTGAAGGAGCTCAGGATGTGCTGAAGAGGAAGCAGATAGAGGATGAAGAGCAGAGGCCCCAGCACAGAACCTTGTGGGACACCATGGGTAAGAGAGGTGGTGGAGGACCTAAACTTGGAGACGGCCACAGAAAAGGAGCGCTCAGAGAGATAAGAGGAGAACCACTCCAGAGCAGATCCTGATAGCCCTACCCAGTCTCTCAGCCTCTCCAGTAGCAGGTGATGGTCAACAGTGTCAAAGGCTGCAGTCAGGTCCAACAGGACCAGAACAGAATAGTCCTCTGCATCACTGTGAGTCAGAAGGTCATTAGAGACCCTAAGAAGAGCTGTTTCAGTAGAATGAGCTCTACGAAAATCTGACTGTAAGCAATCATAGATGTTGTGTTCATCAAGAGCAGCTGTTAGTTGTTTAGCCACAACCTTTTCCAAGATTATTAAATGATCATTAAGATGTTATATTCTATATAAATATGAATTATCAATCTGATTAGTCTTTTAATATTTTATTTAACATTACCTTAAGTTCTTGGACTATTCAGGGAAAACACACTTCATATTAATTCAGACAGAGTCAAGGATATGGTTTATAAAAATAAATTTTATCCTATCTTTCTACACTAATAATTATACATGACAATGAATGAATTAAATGATGGAATGTAAGCTAAATGTGTATGTAACAAAACCTTATTAAGTATCTGAGAGATCTTGTGATGTCTGGGTTGTAAAATCAGTTTGACTGTATGGTTTAATAAGCTATCAGTTATTCATAAAACCATCCAACACCAATGTGCAGGTCTACGATACCCGTGTTGGAAGCTCTGGGTGGTCAGGAGGAAAGGCAGCCAGTGGTGGTGAGGTCACCAGACGCAGTGGCTACTGGAACCTCAAAGAGTCGTAGCTTCCTTTGGATTCAGATATCACCAGCCATAAGATACTACCTGCTAATTAGATGTTCCACGTCTGAGGTGTTGTAGCGTCTGAGGCCACTTGCAAGCGTTGCAGAGAGGCTTTGACCTTGGGTCAAAAAGAGAGGATGGTTCCAAATGTTTTGTTCACACGGTTCGCCGAACCGAGAGGCTGCTGAGAACTGGCTAGATCAGGAAGTGGCCTAGCCTTTATCAACTTCTGTTGGCAAATTTAGACAGATCAGAATTTGACAAGTTTAAAGGTGTTTCCAAAATATCTCAGGCAATCACTCCTTTACCCAGATACTTATAGGTTATTCTTAGTGTGAAGTAAAAATGTTAAACATTAATAATAATTTTTGAGAATAGATAAGAAGTCCTCTTTCAGCCTTGAGGAATGGTGACGTATGCAGGATTAGTTAAGAATATTCGCTCAAGTTCATTTCTTCATATTGGCACCACGGTTTCAGATTAACCTGTAAGCTAAAGTTAATTTATGGTCATTTTTGATGAAAAACCTGGTCATTTGGCACGCTACACCTAAGGGTCACAGGAAGCTGGTGCCTTTCTCCAGCAGACATCAAGCAAGAGGCGGGGACCATAGACATGTCTCAAACATATAAACATGTCTATACGGGGGACAACCTGGACAAGTCCATCACAGGGTTGTCTCAGTGTCAAAATACCTTTATTCAGTTCCCTTCATGTTCTGTATTCCTGTGGTTTATGGTAAGACTGCTCCATCAGCATCTTGTGAACACCAAGACAACTTGTGATCAAACCACACATATATGTCCCCAAATGACACAGAAGATAGAGTCTGAGTCAGCTGATGATTCATTGCTATGATGCAATTATTTAGCCTTAGCAGTTGTAGCAGAACTTGATAAAAATCATTTTGCTTTTTTCTTCTTAGAAACAAAAAACTAAATATGCTTCTTTTGTCTTTTTAATTTAGCACAAACAATGCATTGACTTCCAGTTGTTGTTTTGTTTTTGTTTTCTGGTGTTATCCACTAGTTTGATGTTTTGTCTCTGCTCTGATTCACAGGTGAATTTTGTGTTACAGCTGTGTGTGCTTATGTGTAATGCTTGCCTTGCTATACAGAAAAACCCTCTTACTTCTCAACATAAAAGACACCTTACATTTGTGAACTGTTGGAAATGCAGGAATAAAGGAAACATGCAAATCCACTGAAGTTAGATTAAAATAACAAAGGCAGTTGGTGGACTGCAGCGAGCATGACTGAAAACATTACTGAGACTGACACAGGATGTGTTGGACCTCACAGGGGTTAAAAACCAGCCAAAGGCTTTATATTTAGACCGCTGTAGCAAACCGTTGCATCAAAAGAAAAGTCATCATGCTCCTTCTGAAAACCTGTTGCACATACGGTCTAATAATTTCCTCTCTGTTGTCATGCGGCACAAATGTGTGATTTTATCAGTAATTGCATTGTTCGGGTATTATAAATACATAATTAAAGTCCACTCTGTTAGGTACACCTTGCTAGTAGCAGGTCGGACCTTCTTTTTCTAGAACTGCCTTAACCCTCTCAGGCTCAAAATACGTTCTGATAAAAGGACGAATAACTAAGTCCTTCAGAGGTACTTCTGAGTTAAAAAAATGCTCATGAAATACGTATGTGGAGTACCCAGGTAGATAGGTTTTAGCGTTGCAAATCTGCAACACCTGCCTCCAGAGGGTTAATTCCTCATGCCAAAGATTCAGTAAGTACAGGTGAAAATAAAAACATTTGAATATGGTGCTAAAGTCCATTTATTTCAGTAATTCAACATAGACTGAGAGACCAGCTAAAGCCATTTTTGGTTCTTTTTTTAAAACACAGGAAAGATTTCTCTTTACCTTGCTGACAGTTTTGTTTGCGTCTGCAAACATCCTCAGAGCTGACGCTGATGGTGACGTCACTTCCTACTCCGTTTATCCGCGGGCAGCAGAGGACGTTGTTGCCCTCTGCTGCCCGCTCTCCCCTCTCCGATGATGCAGTCCCATGCACGATCCAATGTGTAAACCCCATCGTCTCTGTTCATAGTCCCACATCCACATCTCCTTATCTCTATGGCTTTCTTTATCCATCTTTTGTATTTCTGTTGTTCGGTGTTTATGATCCTTGTGTTGTCCCAGTCCATTATATGGTTTTCTCTTGTGCAGTGATCTGTTACGGCTGACTTCTTTATTGTACTTTCTGCTTCTTGTTTTGCTGTTCTTGTGTGTCTTCGACTTGTTTCTCTCTCGCACTCCTTTCTGTGTTCAATTGTTTGTGTGTTGAGTTGGCGTCCGGTTTCTCCTATGTATGTTTTATTGCAGAGTTTGCATGGGATTTCGTAAACAACTCCAGCTGGTATCTTGTCTTTTGGGTGTACTAGTCTGTTTCTAACTGTTGTGTATGGTTTCTTTGGTGTGTTTATGTTGTGTTATTTTTTATTGTTGCTCTTATATTTTCTGTTATGCCTTTGATGTATGGTAGGGTTATCACGGGTTTTGGTTCTTGTCTTTCTGGGTTTCTGGTTCTTTGCTTAGGTTGTTCTTTTCTTTCTGTTGTTGTTTGTTATTTTCCTTCGTTTATTGACAATGTCGGGTATCGCAGGTCTTTATTACAAAAGAAGAACAATCAGCCATGACAGCATTATCCAAAAATGAACAGATAATTATTCTACTGACAGACAAAAGACGAACCACACTAGTAATGGACAAAGAAAAATATAAACAACAGATGAAGCAGATGTTAGAGGACAAAAATACATACAAAATACTTTAAAAACCCCAACAGAAAACATGAAAAAAAAACATGAAAAAATTACTGAAGCCACTACAACAAAAAGGCTAAATAACAGAAAAAATGTACAAACGCTGGATCCCTGCAGCAAACATAATACCAAGAATGTACGGAACTCCAAAAATACACAAATAAAACACCCCACTTGGACCAATAGTAGACAGCATAGGTGCAGCAACATACAACATGGCAAAAGAAATCAGCAAAATCATCAGCCCTTATTAGGTAACACAGATCAACACTGCAAAAATAGCATAGAACTGGCAAAAGAACTAAAAAAGATTACAATAGAAGATAACAACATACTCATCTCACATGACGTCACATCCCTGTTCACAAAAACACCAACCAAAAAAACCATAGACATAGTAGTTAACAGAATCACACAGGACAAAACTTTACACAAAAGAACAAATCTCGCAGCAGATGACATAGCACAACTGATAGGACTGGTAGCTAACTCCACTTACTTCACATACGATGACACAATATACAAACTGGAAGGCTTCGCCATGGGAAACCCATTATCAGCCACCTTGTGCGAGTTTTTCATGGAAGACCTAGAGCAAAAAGCCATAACCACTGCCCCCCCCAAACTGCAAAATAAAACTATGGAAACGCTACGTTGACGACATACTGAAAATCATACCAAAAGGACAAACAGAAACACTGACACAACTTTGACGACACAGGCAACATAAAGTTCACTTATGAGTCAGAAACAGACGGCAGTATAGCATTTATGAACATGAAAATAACCATGCAGACCGACGGGACCCTAAACATAAACACATGTAGGAAACCAACACACACAGACCAATATTTATTATGGACATCAGAACACCCCACCATACACAAAAGGTCAGTAATCAGAACATTATATCACCGAGCAAACATGGTAACAGAAGAAAGAGACCACAAACAAGAGGACAAACATATACAACACGCTTTAAAGACCTGCGGATACCCGACATGGGCAATAAACAAAGGAAAACGACAAACAACAACAACAGAAAGAAAAGAACAACCAAAGCAAAGAACCAGAAAGACAAGAACCAAACCAGTGATAACCCTACCATACATCAAAGGCATAACAAAAAAAAAAATAAGAGCAACAATAAAAAAACACAACATTAACACACCAAAGAAACCATACACAACAGTTAAAAACAGACTAGTGCACCCAAAAGGCAAAATACCAGCTGGACATAAATGTGGATTCATTTACGAAATCCCATGCAAACTTTGCAATAAAACAAACATAGGAGAAACCGGACGCCAACTCAGCACACGAACAATAGAACATAGAAAGGAGTGCGAGAAAGAGGCAAGTCGAAAACAACAAGAGTAGCAAAACAAGAAGCAGAAAGTACAATAAAGAAGTCAGCCGTAACAGATCACTGCACAAGAGAAAACCATGTAATGGACTGGGACAACACAAGGATCATAAACACCGAACAACAGAAATACAAAAGATGGATAAAGGAAGCCATAGAGATAAGGAGACGTGGATGTGGGACCATGAACAGAGACGATGGGGTTTACACGTTGGATTGTGCATGGGACTGCATCATCGGAGAGGGGAGATCGGGCAGCAGAGGGCAACAACGTCCTCTGCTGCCCGCGGAGTAGGAAGTGACGCGCCACCATCAGCGTCAGCTCTTAGGATGTTTGCAGATGAAAGAACGTACCAAAGAGGTTTAAAGTCCAGCTAAAGGCTCAGGAACCCAATGGATGTGTTTTGATGATCACTTAGGACAGCAGTAGCTCAGGAGATAGAGTAGGTAGATTGCCCTGTTCTCACCCAGGCTACTCTGCTGTTCTGTCTTTGGGCAAAACACTTCACTTGCCTGTGTTGATGGGGGCAGATGGTGCAAAATGGCAGCCTTGCCTCTGTCTGACCACTACTTAGTGGCTTACAATCACCAGCTGTGTGAGTGCAAGAATAACAGAAAGCACTTTGAGTGCTTTGAAAAGTGCTATGTAAATCTAATCAATCAAAACAATTCCTATAATGTGACACTTTCATTTCCTCGGAAAGCAACATGATTCTGATTCTAATTCAGTATTATGATCACTTCCTGTTTCTCTCAGGAAGTTAGACTTGCGCTCAGGACTCTAAGTGAGCAAATGCCTTTGCCAATAAGGCAGAACGTCTTGAGTTAAACAGACTTCCACAAAAACTCGGAAAACGAGAGGTCAGAGTAAGTTTTTTTTTATAGTTGTGTTTCAATATTTTATCTAAATTTACAGATGTGTAGAGAATCAGTGGTCTAGTAGCTGTATTTTTCTATCTCTTTAACTCACTTCTGTTCTTGACTGTTTAGAGAATTCTGGGGGATACTTTCAAAACATTTTGCTGCATGGTGAGTGAGACGTTCTTATTATCACTACAATTTAAAAGCTTTGAAATATTCTATTTAAACGTAGTGAGGATGCTCCAACAAATTGTTTTAAATCGAGAAATAGTCCCATTTTTTTAGGTCTAACCAAAAGGGTTGAATGTTTTTGACTGGACCAACAAGAACTTTTACCAGCATCATTTAAAGATTAGAAAAAAATTATTTTTTTTATGTGCAGCATTTCCAAGTAAATCATTCTTGTACTTTCTTCATGACAGGACAGGTGGAAACACTGAAAATATGGAGTTCAGTTTCATAAAGAGGTTTGTCCTTTTCTGCATTCTGGGTGTTATGGTGTTCATCTTCTACCATGGATGGCCTAGAATAACCCAGTACCCCACCCTAAATCCATTAAGGAGTGATGGAAATCTGACAATCCTGATTTGGCACTGGCCTTTTGGCCAGTCATTCAGTCTGAAGGGTGACGTTTGCTGGGATCTCTACCAAATACCTCATTGTAAGCTGGTGGACCAGCGCTCCTTCTACCCCGCTGCTGATGTTGTAGCGTTCCATAACAGAGAACTGATTGATGGAAGTCAGAAGCTGCCCACTGACCTCCCTCGTCCACAGGGTCAGAGGTGGGCCTGGATGTCCCTGGAGTCCCCTGATAACAACGGAGACCTGCGGCGGTTTGCTAATCTCTTCAACATGACCATATCCTACAGGAGAGATGCTGATATCACTGTACCGTATGGTGAGCTGCTACCTGTGGAGACTGAGGAACACCTGGTGGAGGACAGGCGTGTGAATAAAAGCTCTTTGGTCTGCTGGGTGGTCAGCAACTACAGGAGCCACTACAAAAGAAGCCAAGTGTACAAAGAGCTGAGTGCTACAGTTCCCATCAAGGTTTATGGCCGCTGGAGTAATACACCTCTCTCCTCTGAAGACCTCTTACCTACCATCTCACGCTGCTACTTTTATTTAGCTTTTGAGAATTCTGTGAGCAAAGACTACATCACAGAAAAGCTGTGGTACAACGCTTACCTAGCAGGAGCTGTGCCTGTTGTGCTGGGACCATCCATAAATCACTACAAAGCCGTGGCTCCGGAACATTCTTTTATTCACGTTGACGAGTTTGCTTCAATAAAAGATCTGGGAACGTACCTGCAACAGCTTGCAGGTGACAAGAAGAGGTACAACGAATACTTTAACTGGAAAAAGCACTGGAAGGTGAAAATGAACAAAGGCTGGAGGGAAATGGTGTGCAAAATCTGCACACGTTACGATACTTTGCTTCAGCACAAGGTTTATTATGATCTAGAGTCCTGGGACAAAACTACTCTTTAATATGAATCTACAGAAAACGTCCACGTCTATAGATGTCATAATGCTACAGTCATCATGAATATTCCCATTGTGAAGTGTTTTAAAATTATTTTCCACCGCTAGTCTGCCTACCATATACAATACTCAGATTAAAAAGGGAAGAAATGGTCATATCCTGCAGCGTGAGACACAAATAACATTGGTTTATCTCACCCCAGGATGTGTGGTTGTTGGTTGCAGCTGATGTTCTTCTCTCCTGAAATGAAACCTGCTTCGTTGAAGCTTTAAACTTCCCCAGTCTAATTAAATTCTGCTGTTACTAATAGTTGTTTATTTATTCCTTCTCAACGTCAGAACTACTGTACTGTATCATTGTTCAGAATTTGATCTGTTGCATGATTGCTGCATTGTGCAGGTGCAAGTCATTTTAAATAGTACTTTAAACTGACATACATTTTAAAATGAAGGTGTTTTGTTTCCTAGAAACCGAGTGACTCTTCTGTATTATGTAACCCTGAATCATTTTAGGTCCTAAAATGAAAAATCTACTTTTGAACTTTTGTTTACTCAGTCACTCATCAGGGTGGCATTTCACAGAGAAAGTGAATTCATGCATGAATTATGAAATCTTCAACCATGATTTTTTAACAATTTTTTTCATTAATCTTTAGGTGTGAATGAAACAAATTTCAACAAATATTTTTTGTAACATTTAATTTACAAATAATTTATTACATGTCCACCTCAGTGGACAGCGTGCATTCTGAACATGAAATATGTTGGCTTGACTTACTAAAGTCCAAATGGAGGGGCTCAAATGCAATAAAGTCTTCAACAGCCGTGCTTAATAGCAAAAAAAAAATAAAAAAAAAAACAAATAACAATTTTGAGTACCTGTCCACTGTAGTGACCATCATGCATCAAAGGGTTAAAGCTCAATTCTGTTTTGAGCATTCAGGGGGAACCTGAATCTGGTTTATTTTTATTCTAGAAAGTAAATAGCCAAAGAAAAACTGAACAAAGTTTTAATTCAGTTTTCAGTTTATGGCATTAAAAAATTTAAATGTGGCCCTGACAACTGGTATTTTCCCTGACGATTGGGGGCAAAATATACCTAAATCGTTGCAAGCAAGCAGCATTTTTCTGTTCGAGTAGGACCTTGCCAACTGATGGCCATTAGGTTTAATTATCCTTGTTTGTTAGCGCAATTTTCAAATGAGTGCTTTGTCAGATCAGTCAACCTGCAACCAAATGACAAGCACATCATACTCCATTTCATCACTGGCAACAAGTGAAAAGGTAAATGTGTAACACAACAACGTTTACGAATGGTGAAAGTTTTGGAACCTCTTGTTACAAATCAGTAAATACATTTTGTCCTCATGGGCTCCTGTAGAAGGAAATATAGCATCTAATTTAACATCATAAAGAGACTAATGGGCTCAACACACGGGAGGCGATATCGCCTCTCCTCCATTCATTTTCAATGAGACATGCGCGACAAAACGATAATCGTGGGCCTTCTTCCTGCTAAGCGACACGCAAAAAACATGCATGTGAAATTTTGTGCTTGTGCATGAGTCGTGCACAGGCGAGCCAGCGACACAATCCCATAATGTTGAAATATTTCAACTTTTCATCGCTGTCGCTCGAACAATGACCAATCAGCGGAAGTTTTATTGACTGACCAATGAGCGGACAGGATGCTTCTCAGTACATCTTCGGGCAAACAAGAAGGAAAAGTTAATCCTTGCTGTGTCGGATTTCCCAGAGCTTTACAACATTTCTACAAAAGAATATAGAGATCTTCACAAAAAGGCAGCTGTCACACCCTGTCCTGTCTCCCCATTCTATTCAGTCGTGTCTCTGTTAATTGCTCCCACCTGCCTCTCGTTTTCCAATCACCCAAGCTCCCAGCCCTCATGTATTTAAACCCTCTTAGTTCTGTGTCTTTTGTCGGTTCATTGTTTCCATGTCCTGCGTGCATTCATCATTAGAAAACTTTTACGTTTTCCAGTTTGTCTGCCTGCCTGCTTCTTCACCCGCGTGTGGATCCTCACCTCCGCTTCACTCACCAGCACGTGTGACAGAATGAACCGACCTCCTAAAGGATCCAGCGGGGAGGCTCTCCCCTGGGAGTGCCTGCTCCAGTTCCTCACCTCGGACCACCGGCCGGCTTCTCCTCCTGTCATGATCCGCCCCGGCCTCCCTGACTGTGTCTCTCCTGCCCCTTGATTAACCTTATTGTTCTCACCTGTCCCTCATTACTCTGCCCATGTGTTCCTGATTCCCTTGTGTATTTATACCTCCCTCCTTGTGGCTGTCTTTGTCGGATCATTGCCGTTTGTGCATGTTCGTTTGTCCTGTCGCTCCCAGTCTACAATTAAACTATTTTACTTTACCCGTGCCTGCTCATCTGCCTCTGGAACCCTCCACCACACTCGGTCCACCATCTCCACCCCCAGAACACGACAGAATGATCTGACCAACCTGGACCTGTGGTGAGCTAACACCTGTTTCTTGAGGATTATTTTTTCTTTTTGTTCCCTTTCAGCGGAGGGAGATTTCGGCCTGGAGTTTTTTGGTTTTTTGGGGCATCCTACCTGTTCTCGGGGTGGTCGAGCCCTCTGGGAGATTCCGGCGCATCCTAGCTGTTTCGGGATGGTCGGGGTCATTCTCCTCTCCTGCTGTTTCGCCCCGTCCTGTTCGTCACGGAAACTGCCGTTCCTGGAGTATTCTGATGGAGGTAAAAACCCCTACGCACGCCATCATTCTCCGGGGTGGTAGGCTGGTCTTCCTGCTCCGTGGTCTGCTTCCCTTCACCCGAGCCTGCCAGAGGATCCTGTCGAGTCACGGTATGCACCTGCTCTGAACCGTGGTCGAGTACCTGCATCCGCTCCTGGTTCTCTCGCGTCGCTCCTGCGGTTTTCATCCCACTTCCTGGTCCACGCCTGCAGGGTCTATGCCTGCAGGTCCTCCACGCGGCAGTTCCTGCTGGGTCCTATGCCTGCTGCTGCAGTTCCTGCTGGGTCCCACGCCTGCTGCTGCAGTTTGTTTAGTGTTCCTGGTGTCAAGTCAAGTGTTCCTGGTGTCAAGTCAAGTGTTCCTGGTGTCAAGTCAAGTGTTCCAGTCAAGTGTTCTAGTCAAGTGTTCGAGTCAAGTCAAGTGTTCGAGTCAAGTCAAGTGTTCGAGTCAAGTCAAGTGTTCGAGTTGAGTCAAGTGTTCGAGTCAAGTCAAGTGTTCGAGTCCAGTCAAGTGTTCGAGTCAAGTCAAGTGTTCGAGTCGAGTCAAGTGTTCGAGTCGAGTCAAGTGTTCGAGTCAAGTCAAGTGTTCGAGTCGAGTCAAGTGTTCGAGTCGAGTCAAGTGTTCGAGTCAAGTGTTCGAGTCAAGTCAAGTTTTCGAGTCAAATGTTCGAGTCAAGTCAAGTCTTCGAGTCTGAGTTTCCCTGGTCCCAAGTCTTCGAGTCTGAGTTTCCTTGGTCCAATGTCTTCGAGTCTGAGTTTCCCTGGTCCCAAGTCCTCGAGTCTGAGTTTCCTAGTCTGAGCTCAAGAGACCCTTCGTAAGTCGGAGTTGTGCCGCCTGAACCGAGAGGCCCCTGCTCCGCAGCCCCGGACTGAGTTCTTTGTTCCCTAGTCACGTCTTCTGTGTTCCCTAGTCATGTGTGCCCGAGTCTGGTCTTCGTTCGTTCCCGTGTCTCCTGTGCTTTGTGGCTTGTGGGTGTCTGGTATCCGCCCCTTAAGGGGGGGGGGGGGGGGGGGGGGGTACGGTCATGATCCGCCCCGGCCTCCCTGACTGTGTCTCTCCTGCCCCTTGATTAACCTTATTGTTCTCACCTGTCCCTCATTACTCTGCCAATGTGTTCCTGATTCCCTTGTGTATTTATACCTCCCTCCTTGTTACTGTCTTTGTCAGATCATTGTTGTTTGTGCATGTTCGTTTGTCCTGTCGCTCCCAGTCTACAATTAAACTATTTTTACTTTACCCGTGCCTGCTCATCTGCCTCTGGAACCCTCCACCACACTCGGTCCACCATCTCCACCCCCAGAACACCTTGAGAATGTATCGTGCGCCAGACGCAGTGGGCGCACCAACGATCAGCGCTCTGCGTCCTCTCCGCTGAACAGAATCCCGCTACGCTGAGAATCCAGAAATATTGTAATATAGGTAGAAACTGGATCTTTCCCTCAAGATATCTAGCCCCCGTAAATCGATCCCTACTCCTGGATGAAAAAGTGGACATTTTGATCAATGTAGGAAACACCCCCGGATGCCCCGGACAGAGAGTGAAAAGTGGACACGTCGGGGGAAAGAGGACGTATGGTCACCCTACTCTAACCTTTCCAAATAGGCTTCAAAAGTTTCTTCTTTTTCATCAAAGTTAAAGTCTTCCCCTTTTCCAAAGTTTGCTGACACCATGTTTTCTTTTTTTTCTCAATGGAGTTTTTCCATACAAACTCTTCTCACCAACAAGAATATCCCATCCTTGTCGCCAAGAATCTGTAGTGTCCAGATTTAAATGTTAGGAATGCTCCCGAGGTGAAAAACGACATTTAGTTGGCTCTTTAGCAAATGGCTTCTTTATTAGAACAAGAGCATCACACAACAACGTGGGTAAGCGTTCCTCTCTTAGAACAGCCCTCCCGGGGCTTCTTGTGCCCTCTATAGGAATGACGGTGCCACTGCATCCAAATGTAAACACATCAGAGCATTTAATATTCCCAGACACCACACTCACTGTCGACTTTGTTTAATTTAGGGTAGACTCTACGGACTTCTCTGCATGTCTTTTGCCCCGCTGTTGCGGCTGCCTGCCTGGCCAAAGGGAAAAAGCAGCCAGGATCACCCAGCTCTGGTGATCAGCCGGACACCACCCCTCCTCCTCCTCCTCCCTCCCAGGCTGCTGAGGAGCACAGCTGAGCTGAATCCCTCTGATGACCAACACCTGGGATAAAAGAGCTGTGCCTTCAGCAGTCTGGGAGACAGCAGTGCAGGGGTTCTGCTGTTCTCCATTCTTTTTGTTCTAACCCGTTCGTTCGTTCGTTCGTTCGTTCGTTCGTTCCTTCCTTCCTTCCTTCCTTCCTTCGTTTTGATGAGTTTAACTTTTATAGTTTAAACTCTTGAGTGATCCTGTGGGATCTTGTGTTCGTTGGTTCTTAAGGTTAACTTTGTTTGTTTCAATTTTATTGACTTCGTTTTTAAACACCTTCGTTTGGTAAAACTTATAATAAGTTTTAACCAGGTGTTTAAGTCAGTAAATTGTTTTAGAGACTTTAATCAACTTCACGGTGCTTTTAGAACACCTTCGTGCGGTTAAGCTTTTAACAA